TGCACCCTGAACTAAGTACCCGCACCGTGATTCCTCGGTCAATTGGTGAATTTGTTGTTGTCGGCATTTTATTTGAAAAGTCCGAGGAAGAGGACAGTATATTGCTTTTTTATTTTTCATTATTTATTTCTTACTTTTTGAAGGGACTTTTGGCGGACAGTCATCCTACCTTACTAGGACGCGTATGATATATTTGAGCACAGACACAACCACCCACTTAACTTAAGTATAAACACAGAAGATCAATAGCTCGCTATGACATCTTTGAGTTTTCGTTCTCGGAACAGTTCTCTTAAGTTATTCATGTACGAAAATTGCACGGTTCTGTCACTCAAGTAAAGATTCATAGATATCGCTGAGAATACAGGGGAATTGCAGTGCTTAAAAGCCGTTATTCTATTGGCGCCATTCAGAATCGGTCCCTTTCGTCATTCAACATATATCGCGATGTCCCTCCTTCTCATCTACAATTGTCTCCGGGTCGGCCAGCGCTGGTGTCTCTTCTTGGCTTGGCGGGTATATATATATCCATAATCTATTAGCGTACAGGTATGCGCGATAGATTCATAAGTAGATACCAGATCGAGACTGGCAGCTGTACTTGGCAAACGCCTGATCCAGAGGATGTATATATCTCTTGACTGCCAGGAAGAGTTTGTAAAATGGGCAGTGGAGTTTAATATGTTCATTGTACGTGAAGGTGCTTACTGAAGAAGTAATATAGGGGGAAAGTACTGTAGGCAGACAAGACATCAAGACCCGTGATATAATTGGCGTAATCACCAGACGTGGTGAGATTCACCGACACAAATAGTACTCAGTAATCGACGATTGATCAATTGGTTACAGGTCTGGGTAATGTGGGCTGGAGCCGTCTTATCGTGCAGTCTTGAAAGGGTACCCCGGGCCGTGGGGTATTATTCCATCTTCGTCTCATTGGCGGACATCAGAGCCACCTGGCGGGTTGTTGACGGGATGCATTGAACCCTGATCGGGAATCCCCCGCGTCTGCAGTCCGCACTTCCGAGGACCGATATGACTACAGACGATTCAAAGGGTAGCATAGCGATATTAAACATTTTGATGAAAAAAGATATTGTCTGAGCCAACTGCTAGATTTATCATTTCTCCGAAAAAGCTGTTCAAAACCATGTTCGCTGTTCGATGTTCAACGTATAATAGATCTTGTTCAACTGCAACTTCCGCTCATCGAGCCGAGATCCGCTTAGTCAAGCAAATATCCCTGCAGATCAACTGCAAGTGGAGACAAAAGTCGCTTAGATTATAACATTCAAAGCAATATGCATGCATGGTCAGCATCTCCGAGACCGAAACCTCCGAGGACTACTTGGCTATATGCGTGGCAGGAGTATAAGAGTGTGGACTGGTGCTCCAAGTAAACACAGACTCATCAAGAATCTGCTCACAACAGCAGAGCTTTGGTTCATTTCGGGATTCCAAAATGCTCATGTACTCCACCCCCGCGCTTGCCGCTCTGGCTCTAGGCCTGGTCCTGTGGGTCTTCGTCAGACGGGCATTGTCCCCTGACCGTGACATTCCCGGCCCTTTTCTGGCCCGCTTCACTCGATTCTGGTATATCAGACAAATGATGAGAGGTGATTTCCAATATACCAATATCAAACTTCATCGGGAGCATGGTATGTGTGAAGACCAGAGAATAAACAAGATTGGATGCTGAAGACTTTCACAGGCAAGATTGTGCGGATCGCACCCGGCTGGTACAGTGTCAATGGTCTCGATGCTCTAAAGACCATATATGCCCACGGCTCCAAGTTTATCAAGTCGGACTGGTACGAAGCTTGGAACTTTTCACCTGACCCGGAGGGCCATAACCTCTTTTCCGTCCGAAACACGGCCGATCACTCCAGCGCTCGTCGCAAGGTCGCAGCCATGTACGCCATGTCTGCTGTAGTATCGTACGAGCCCTATGTGAATAACTGCATCCGGCGGTTGCGTGCGAAACTCGACTCCACTGCAAAGGACGGGTTGACTTTGGACCTGGGACACTGGCTTCAGTGCTTTGCTTTTGATACCATTAGCGAGATTACGGTATGCTCTTCCAGCCCAACCTTTCCCTTATTTACCCCGATAGAGCCATGCTAAATTAAACAGTACGGCGAGCGATTCGGTTTCCTGGATAAAGGCAAGGACATCAATAACTTGATCTCCAACTTGGATAACAGCTTCACCTTTAGCAGTCTGGTGGGCCTTCTCCTCTGGCTGCGGCCATTGGCTCTTTTCCTCGGCAGCTTTTTCGCGAAGTCAGATGCCTTGTACGTGGCTCGTTTCAACGCGCAGAAGTTCATGGAGTTGTCACAGGAGTTTCTCAAAGATCCATCTCCTGAGGGGCTAAAGCCCATGGTCCAAAGGCTTCTTCATGCTCGGCAAGAGGACGTCAAAGGCCTGACAGATAGGGATATTCAGACAAGCGCAGCATCCAATATTGGTGCTGGGAGTGACACCACGGGAATTGGTCTTAGCTCAGTGATATTCTACTCGTTTCGGTTCCCCGAGAAGCTGCAGAAGCTGCGACAAGAAATTCAAGATGCTGGTCTAGGAAGCGAGCCTTCTTTCCAGGATACTCAGAAATTACCGTATCTGCAGGCTGTTATCAAGGAGTCGATGCGTCTGCATCCGGGTGTTGGGTTTCCCCTTCTCCGTATCGTGCCGAAGGGTGGTGCTGTGATTTGTGGACGATTCTTCCCGGAGGGTGTAAGTTGTGCCTTTCCTGGATTTGTACCCCACATGTGCTAATGGAGTCATAGACAAATGTCGGTGTAAATAGCTGGGTCATTCACCGGGATGAGAGTATCTGGGGCTCCGATGTTGACGACTTCGTGCCTGAGAGATGGCTGACGGATGACTCTGAAAAGCTCCGAGTAATGGAACAGTGTCTGATTCCTTTCGGAGTTGGGTCAAGGACTTGTATCGGCAAAAATATCTCGCTGTATGAGATCAATAAGCTCATCCCGCAGCTCATTCGGGACTATGACATCGATATACAGCAGAAAGATGGTACAGACATGAGGTCAAAGAACATGTGGTTTGTCAAGCCTGTGCAATTCGGAATAAAGATCAGGCAGAGGTCAGCTGGATCTGATGCATGAAGTACGTGGTGAAGATGGAGGGAGTTCACAATAGCTCTAGGTAAAGGCTTACTTTACAGGAGGGCAGCATACTAACCTTCCAGGTGTATATCGGTATATTAGCAGTGACGTGCTAGAAATGAAAATAAGAGTGATTGGTCATTTTCCGGCTAGCGCATGCTCTGCTACACGTAAGCTTTCATATCCTCTACTTTGGTCGTATCAGCAAATATGTTACCGGGAGTTTCGCGGGCATGAACGATCCGATTGCTGGTTAGTACACATGAGAAGAAAGGCGGCTTTCACCTGGTTTGATCTGAGGGAATTGAATGTAAATTGATCCAATAGGTAAATACGATCGATTTACAATCTATTCCATAGAAACTGCAAAAAATATACATGTAACGATCAGAGTGCCAAGCGAAACCAGAACAATGATCGAAGGTTTATTTCAGGCAATCACAATCCTGCTATCAATGATCAAAAAGCCGCTTTGACCAGAAAGAAGTCCATGGAGTTCTGGGCAGTATTGTGCTTACGTTGCACAGCATATCAGCGGACCTCGGCTTGGTCTCCCTATAATCTCTATCTGGGGAATCCAGGATACAATAGGAGGCTATCCAGATTTCCGCATTACACATTCTAACCAAGCTGGCTAGGCCCATATCTCTGTGAAACGACGATTACGATCAAGTTCCTGCAATTTGTCGCCTCAGGAAAACCGGCAACAACGACTGAGAATTGGGCAGGACCATGTGGGCCATGAGAATGGCAATTGTGACGGTTCACACCTTTCAATTCTTCTACGATCATCCCGTGGTCATACTTTGTGGAGACTGATCTTCTCGAATTCGGCCCACAGTCCTAATGTTCAACAGACTGACAGTCCCGTCCCATGCGTGTTCACGATCATGGACAGTGCCTCGTGGCTAATAATCGGACTGGGATACGCCGGAAAATGAAAACAAGCGGATATTTTCTTTTCCATTACCTTGAAGCTGTGGGACAGGGCACTTGCCTCGCGACCACAATCTGCCACAAAAACCAGATAAATGGGTAAAATGTTGAAGATGACTTGGGCCGAGTGTGTTTTAGTATCATTTAACGGCATGCTCGAGTTCGCTTGATCCATGCCACCGTTCAGTCTCGGCATCCAGACACGGTACATCAAGGACAATTATGAGGCCACTTATCCATCCCGCGACAATGGCGGAATTGGCATCCGATTCAATGATCTGCGACAGTCAAAGTTCAGTGTGATGGCGGGCGAACATCTATCGAAAACGATTGAGTGGGGCGGAACCCGCGTTGAGGTCTCAAACACCTTTCCGAGGTTTTTCCAGAGGTACTGAAGACGAGACATGTCGAACGGTTCTAAGTATACTCCTGGCAATCCATTTACCGGCCGCTAAGGAGCTACACTTCTAGGACAAAGGGTGCGGTCTGACCACTGAACGCCCGGGGCTCAAAATTGGGTCGCCCGAACGGATCCCCACTATAGCCGATCATGAAACAACGGAGCAAGCCCTAATCACATCCCGAATTCTGGTGAGCCACTGATGGTTCTCAACCGCAGGCAAACTGCCTTTTTCTAACCTCGGCGCATGGGTGACTGCTGCACATGGTTTCGAAGTCTATCCCTAATCTAATCCTATCCAAGGATGATTTCCGTTCCGGTGATTTTCCCTCCCGGGGTACCCGACCTATGGTGATGTATCAGTGTTGTTTCAACCGATCAAGCTTTTACCGGCACACAGATTATAAGGATGTAGCATTATAAAGGAAGTTGGGTAGAACGGTTCTGTTTTCCTTTACCTGCAAACTCGAGACTCATTGTAGCACCTTTCGTTTCTTACTTCAGTCTTTTTTTCTTGTCCTTCATTTTCTTTCGTCATGCGTGTCGGAAAGTCCACTCTTTTTGGCGGTCTCGCCCTGACTCCTCTGGCTTTGGCTGTGCCAATGCTCCAGTCACGAGCCACTGCCGGTTAGCCTTCTACGACGTTTTGGTATCGCCATTCTCTAACTCTTGCAGATACGGCCGAATGGACGGAATTACACAGAGCTGCGCAGCTGTCCTCTGCAGCTTACACCGGTTGTACCGGTACTGCCTTCGATGTCACCATCACGAAGCAAATCAATGAGCTCACAACCGATACCCAGGTATGTGCCGTGCTCCCATCAAGCCTGCTTATACTAACAAACTACAAGGGCTTCATCGGTTACTCCACCGAGAAGAAGCGTATCACCGTCGCCATGAGGGGTTCCACTAGCGGTTAGTACATCAAAACCATAACCATATTGATTAAGAACTAAACTGACATCAACAACAGCAACCGACATTGCCAACGACGTCGACACCACTCTGGTCGAGCCCAGCCTGTCTGGTGTCAACTTCCCCTCCGGCGCCAAGATGATGCACGGCATCTATTCCCCATGGTCTTCCGTGCACGATGATGTGATCTCGGAGGTCAAGTCGCTGGTCGAGCAGTACCCCGACTACACCATCGAATCGACCGGACACTCCCTCGGTGGCTCTCTCACCTACATCTCCTACATCGCGCTTGCGCAGAACTTCCCCGGAAAGACAATCATCAGCAATGCCCTTGCCGCCTACCCCATCGGTAACGAGGACTTTGCCAACTTTGGTGCTTCTCAGAACGGCACCCTGAACCGGGGTAACAATGCTAATGATGGTGTTCCGGTAAGTTGCTCTAAACTCTATCTGACCTGACATTCAATGCTCACTAGCTATCTTTCAGAACATGTACGTCATGTGGCCTTGGGACTTTGTTCACTATGGCACTGTGAGTTTTCTTACTTCTATGAGTCCGCTTTGTACGCTTTCCTAACTTTGGTTTACTACAGGAATACTACAGCTCCGGAACCCAGGCCAGCACGGTCAAGTGTAGTGGTGAGCGCGATACCTCCTGCTCGGCGGGTAATGGCCAGGTTGGTGTCACTGCTGGACACTTTTCCAACTTTGGTATCTCGATGGGTCTTGCTGGATGCTCTTCGTCGCTTTTCTAAGCGGATGGCTCTTATGGCTATGCTGAGAAGAGGTGGGCTTAGATGGTGGGGTCCAATTGGAGAATTAGCTACTTTGGACTAGGCAGGGGTCTTGGTATCCTCGCAGCGGGTCTTGGCGGGGTTTACAGTCATTATATATACGATAGACCTGTTTTGGTTATGATAAATGTCTTGTGACTTCAGTTAGTTCGTGTTTATACTATTATGCAGTTAGAGCATTTGTTTGCTCTCCTTATCCTTTAGACACACATATTTAAATGTTCTACCTACTCCCAATCAAAAGATCAGGGGTTTATAAAACTAAAGTGAACACTACTACTTAGACTAACCGAATATTTAAGTGCAGTCAAACATCTTCCGTGTTCGGCACTTTCCAACTTGACCAAGATTCATCCGAGTGCATATGTATTTCCGACCCAAAGAAACGCAACATACCCAATCACCTCTATACAAACCAACCCGAAATATACATGACTCAAATAAGAATTGATAAGCCTTTCATACCAGTCGTAAGCAATCGCCGAGGGCAGACTAATGCAAACCCTACCCGAAGCGGTATAGGGCGCCGAGCTTTCCTCCCCGACTGTGTGCCAAGGCGCGGCAGCCCCAACGCTTAGTTGCATGACCTTGGCCGAACTAACTTCGTTTTCGGTTAACGAGCGCCATAGCGAGGTTTTGGTCGGAAGTATTGGGCCGGGAGCGGGCAGGACGAGTGGTACCTCGGGTATACGGTGCCGAAGACTCTTCTGCTCGCTTTGAGGGTAGCTAGGCGGGTGGATATCAGAGATTGAGGTTTGGTGGTGTTTTTTTTTATTTTTCCCTCGTTATTTTTGACTAAGAAATAAATCTATATACATAATGGTAGAGGCGAAGAAATATAAAGAATAGCTCATTAGAAAGTATTGCCTCAGTGTGTTCGGTCCTGCGTTATCCCTTTCCTTTCAGGCATAGATGCGGGAGATCGTGGGTATATGATAACGGCATCCATGGTAGACTTGCTTTCCACGGTATCGATGGTATGGTAGCTGAGCCAGTGATCATGGGAATAGTGTAATCAAGTAAATGACGAAAGACCTAACCAGGTAGGAGATTGTTAGTCGACTGTCTAGGACCAGCAGTAGTTGGACATTGCTGGCGCCTCAACCCGGAAGCACTTACCCAGTTTCTTGAGTTCAATCGTCAGGTTTAGATAAACAGGGTGGCAGCCATGGTGCCAAGACCCCAGAGGGCAGCTCCGGCTCCGAGCCTCTCCGCTCCATTGTGCTCAATTGGGAACTCATCAGGGTCGTCAGTGTTGCAGTGACCTCCCTCCTCAGTCGAACTCAGCGTGCAGTTAGCCGAGTGGCCATTGTTATCCTGGAAGGTGACCTGGGCGGTGGACCAATCCACGGTGACAGATGATGTATCGCAGATAGACTTGGTCTGGATGCCCCTGTTGTGGCCGCACTTCTTTCCGAAAGGCTTCGAACTGCCCTTGCAGCCAAAAAGCTCATCATCGAGGATGACAGTGCAGTGTGTCACGTACTCATTTGCAGGCGGCGTGGTCGTCCTGAGGGAGATCTGGGATCCGGCGACGGTATGCGCCAAAGCCACAAGGGCACCGAGCTTGACGATCCAGGAAGGCATGGCTGAGAGCGTTGTCTTGGAGAGGACCAGCTGGTAGTTTGGGATCTATTGCAGGAGAGAAGCGATTGGGACACCACAGCTCTAGTTTTCCTGAAGAGAAGAAGGACCTCTTATATGCTGCTACCCAGACAGGCGTCTGCTGTGCCGGCATAGCCGGATAGCAAAATTCATATAGTATAGAGAGTGACCATCCAATGACAAGAAGTAGCGAGTGGGTACGTAGTAGGTCGTTTATCCACTGCTCGCGGACAACGAACAAATCGCGCAGCAAGTATTCGCGCTGAGGTCGGCACTGGACGGGCTTGGCGCTTGGCGCTTGGCTTCAGGGTTCAGGGACTCTCAGGGTTCACGGACCCTGAGAAGTCCCTGTAGCAACTATTTGGCGAGCGGCAGCGGTGGCCATGAAAGCGTTGAACCATATGATGCTACTAGAAGAGAAGCCCCTTATTGAGAAGACACCGTATACCGTCATCCAGTTATAGCAGCGAAAAGACGTTGTTTGCTCTTTGTTCATAGATATGGTCGGTCAGACGACGTGAGCTTTGGAGCACCGAGATATCCGGTCAGGCCCCACCAGCAGTACCTTAGGCGGAAAGTCGCATAGCAGCGCACGTTGGTAATTTTGTTCTCAATCGGTGCCAATGTCATTGTTAAAATAGCCCGTGGCTTTCAGCGTATTTGCAATAGGCAAACTGAAAGCATTCTCTCATTTCAATGCTTGCTTTTACGCTCTATCGTGTTTGTGATATGTTGATGTCAGTGGTTTTGAGCTCAGTGTAGGTTGGAAGTCGTTTTTTCGAGCGGAGAAGGCCGAAGCTGCATTAGCAGACGTCTGGCTAATTACCCGACTTGCCAGGTCTGGTAGGAGCCATGTCGAATGAAGAAGTCGGACATTGATCCGCGGGAAGGAAGGGCGAGGTCCATCGGGAGAATCATTTCATGAATAATTGATTCCATCAAGAGTTTCGATGGATCGGAGAAACGGTAACTCAAAGAGGAATAGCCTCGAATGGCTGTTATCACCTGATATAGCATCACGTGATTAATGAGCGAGATTCATACACGTGATGTTGAGGTAGTTACTTCCGACTATCGGAAGTTTAGCACCAAACTATGTACTTACTCGTTGTGTACCCACCTCTCCTTACGATAACAAGCAGCCATGTCATCTTATCATGACTTGCATGAACCTACGGCAGACACGAGTCTGTGTTCATACTTCTCTGCCCTTTCTATACCTCTCTCTCCCTCCTCCCTATTCTGCAACTGGTTTACACAATAATTCCAGCATTGCCGTCATTGGTGGAGATGAAGGGGCCCATGCCAGGGCGAAGCATATCATTCCCCCTTGGGGTAATGGGTTCCGTCACTGTGTCAGTGCCATCACGTTCTTGCAATCACATTTTCATTACTGACGACCACCAAAGGACACATTTGATTCGTCAGATGGTCCATGGTCGACCTGCAGCTGCAGTTCCAATGCTCCGGGACCATGTTGGGAGCATGGAGCATGCGACGGGGCCTCCGCATCGCGATCCAACCAGGAGAGGTGCTAAACTTTTGACAGTGGGTCTCTTTGCTGATCGTCAAATCACCGGAGATGCGCGCTAGCCACCCATCCCTCATGCCAATCCATGGAACACTCCATGATGTACGTGCTGAAATGGAGACATCATAAGTATGTTTGGTTTTAGATATCACATTCAATGAACTTGCTCCGCTAGAAGTCAATCCAAGTGCACGCGTCGCGAGCGCATAGAATCAGTAAACTTCTGAGCTGAAGAACCACGCTGTCAGCTGGGCAGCGATTAATCTCCCGTGTCCCCACCTGCTCGGGATCTCTGCCACTGAGCTTCGATCGATCGGCCCAATGAGGGCCCCTGCCGTGCTCCATGGTTCGTCTAGTGTGCCTCTAACTATGCAGGTCGATTCAGATCGAGCAATGATAGAGCGAGATGAATAGGGATGGCTGACGAAGTTCAGCTCAGCCGCACCTGCCTCCCCCTGTCTTATGTATTTCAGTTCGCCCCATCGCGACGACTGTGGGATTGCTTTTCGCAGGTCTCTGACTTCCACGATCGGATACGCCCACCATGAAGGACGTCAAATCGCTACTGAATCGCAAAGATGGGGACGATGAAAGATTGGGGTATGGCGAGGAATCGATGACGCAGCTGTGGGATAAGGCTTTTGCAAAGGCAAAGGGAGATTTGAAATTCGACCCAGCCGAAGAAGCGCACCTAGCCGACTTCCACTCAGCAAGCGACCCTCTCGCTCAAACAGAGGCCCTTTTCCGCGATTGGAGACACCCCCAAGCTGACAAGTTTGGAAACAAATTACGCGAGCCAGTGCAACAGTGTATGTCCTGGGCACAGAAAGCGTGCACTTATGTCGAAGGCCACGCAAGCGGGACTGTATGTATATGGCTATTCCAAAGAATTTCGCTCAATTATCTAACCAACTTAGTATGCCGAACCAGCCAAACTGCTCGCTGGGGGCATATCGTATTTGCTCAAGGTAAACCATGCGCGGGAATCTCTGCTCATCTCACCAGCCCAGTTTCGACCAGATAACTCATACCAAGCAGGCTGCCCAGGATGTGAGCGCAGACCTGAACACTGTTCAGGCAACATTTCAGACAATCACTGCTGCAATGCAAGAAATTGATACTTTCGACAAATATCCCGTCGTCACGCCAACTGCTAAGCAAAGCCTAGTGGGTGTTTTCATCGCCTTGTTGCAGTTTTGCTCCTATGTAGGGCACGATCTGCGAAGCCAAAAACGTATCAGTAGGTCTATACAAGTCACAGAAAAGTGCACATCATTTGTCTTCAGAGTTGCAACTAACGGGGTCTCCAACCCTAGCGCTTTTCGCAAAAAAGCTCTTCAATTACCAAACCGACTTGACCACCGGCAAATGCGAAAAGGTTGAACAAGCGATCAAGAACTTCCATAAGTCAATAAAAATCGAAGGATACAATGATACCAAAGAGATCAAAGATGGCGTTAACTGGCTGATCAAGAATACCAATACCAAGATGCAGCAGACTGCCTTCTCGTTCGATATGCACAGCATGTCTGAGAAAGGGAACGTGTTTGACAAGCTGACGAAAACCCTCCAAAGCAAGCTCAATCTCAACCTCACAGTGATGTCTCAGATGGCCACTCGGATGGACTCATTCATGCCACAACTGATTGATGACGGTTTACTGTGGGTTGAAAAGAATGACTATTTTAGGAAGTGGCTATACCCGCACGGCACCTGTCCTTTATTATACTTTAAAGGCGGTGATGGCGTGGGAAAGACGTTCCTAACAGCACATTGCTATCAGCTGATACCATCAATAGCCGGAAGAGATCAAACTCTGGTTCAG